AAAATTTTTACTATTCGATTTTCATATAGGACTATATATAGTCTTGATCTACATAGTACACTGGATACCCCAACGTAGCGGTAGAGGTAGATTAATACCGACACTGATATGTAAACTTACGAATAAAAGTAGCGAAGCTTTACTTTTGTTTATCGTGTGTAGTGACCTTTTTTAATACAATTCGCAAGTATGGTTTCGGAACAACAATTGATGCAATTGATGTGTTTGGACACGATAAATTTAACAAATATTGCGATGATGTTGATATTAATAGTGCCCTTTTAATAGAAAGATATTCTATTCGATTTTTTTCAGCCATTCTACTTTTACTAAAAACACGTCACCACCTTGGTCTATATTACTAATTAAACATTACTACTATATCGAACACCTTAACTGTCTTTTCATTCGAGTAAGTAGTTAAAAGTTTTATATTGCTGGACGATGTTACGGGCAGAATTTAACTCCAAACTTAAAAGATGAACGAAAGTGCAATTTACATGCAAGAAAAATTAGGCAATTTACCAGAGGCGTGACGTGACGTTAGTAATTTGGCAAAAGTATTTAATTTAGAACTTTAGTAATTTTATAGTTTTTTCTTTATCGAATAGATTATTAACCCAAAGGTACTTACTTCTTACAATGGCGAAAAGGCGAAAAGACAACTTTTACAACTCTAATAAGTGTAAATTGTTTTGAATACTGAATTCTTTTTACGCACAACCAACTCACAACCAACTCATTGATTTGTCTAAAGAAAAAAGCTTTTGAATAATATTACGCTATATTATTCTATAGTATAGGATGGGGCCTTTACGTGAAAAATGTTTTTCGCTTTATTATTTTATTACAAAAAGTGTCGGCTACTAATTATTACGTTCTAATCTTCATTCTTCAGCTTTAATTTTTCTTTACGCGTACTAATTTTTCGAATGTTTGGGTTTTCGAATGTGGTTACGTCTTAATTCCCTGTTCATGGGATTTATAGTGACAACAATTTAACGCTTACCGGAGGTGAAATTCACACCTCAACAACGGCTTTGATAGCCTGCATTTATTACTAAGTAAAATTTTAAAAAAAAACCTTAGCCTCTACTTTAATTTAAGTCTTAAACCCTAACTCTAAAGTTTATTTTTAGCTATATTTGAGATAAAATTTTCTATAGATCATAATAATTAAAAACTTATCGTGGCGAATTTCATCTCCGGTGAATACTAAATAAATTTTATATCGCTTAGTCTATTTTAGTATTTAATAAATTTAATGCTCGATTCGAGCATTGTATTTATTAAATACTAAAACAGGCTAAGCAATTAGTGATTGTACTCGATCAAAAAAACGCTACTCTGTTAATTGACGAGTGAACCAGGTGATCGACGGGAATACCCGTTTGCACTTCCGAAGACAAACTTTTATAATAAATATTAAGAAAATATTATTTTGCATAGAAAGGGCTCAAAATGCTTGGAAGTAAGATTTTGTGATATTTGGGTAAATTTCGGCGTGGTATAAAAAAATTTTGAGAGACTTGAGATTATCGAAATTAATGACCAACACAATAAACTTGATTACCTCAAGATTATATTTTTTTGGAGCTCTTTCTATTCCGTATCATATACTGTTTTTTAATTGTATCTTTTCATTTTGATTTTAATTAGTGTCCCGTCGATGGTTTAGTGGGTGGTTATACTAGGTGTAGCGATTATATATACAAATAGGGATCTTTTTAAAGTAAAATCAGGTGTAGTCAAGTTCAACTTTATTTAAAGTTACTATGAATCTCAAGCCAGGTTTGCTGCTATTACTAATCCTCTCGGATTAACCTATATCTCAAGCCAAACCTGCTATCACTGTATGTATTTCTATACCAGGTCGTCAAACAAATTTTATTATCACTTTATTGGAGTCTAGCATATATGCTTTCAATAATTATGTCGTTAATGAGCATTTAGGCGGTATTCATATTACGATAGATTAATGCCAAAAAAAAAGGTTGTGAAATTAAAAAAGGTATGTCACATGAAATTTGGTAGAGAATAAGCGCGTAGTAAGAAACGTTCTAAATTAACTAACCAAACTCAAGATTTTATTATCGGTTAAATTTGGGGTGTACCTACCCGAGTAGCTCTAGCCATAACCAAGTTATCTGGTTACCCGCGGGTAACCCAGGTAATATTTTACCCAAGTATAATCTCTAGGCTCGAAAACGTTCTATTGATTATTCGAGGTATTAACACGTAATTATAATAATACATTCTCAGTTCAAGCTTGATCGCAAAAAATGTGCCGCGGCTTCGTTGTTAAAATTATTCAATTTGTCAAGTGATAAATGACAATGCTAACGCGTTGGTTAAAACTATAGACTGAAGAATTCACTAAAGACGAATTAAATTATAATATCATATATTATCAATGGTATAAATACAGAACTCGCAACGTGTCTAGGATTTAAAATTGGAACCCTTTATTATTCAAACATTATACGAATGCCGCCAAGGGAACATCAATCTGGAAATTATAGTTTATTATTCGGCGAACTTAGCCTCTGGAACATCATTTGTGATTCATCACTGATGACTGTCTTCTAGTACAAGAAGTAAATATCAATATGATGCCTAATTGTATAATAAAAATACATGATACCAAAACGACTAGACACGTCATCACTGATGAATCACTGATGATTTTTCAAGGGCTAGGTTTACCAAATAATAAATTATAATTTCCAGATCGAAAAAATGGGTTCTAAATTATGATACTCGTTCAAGAAATAGGATGTTGTAATCCATAATACAGTGTTAGAATTGCGTATGATTCTGCTTTATGTGTCAAATAGCTTTGATATTAAGTATAGGAAAGAATTGCTGACGGTCTTGGTTCGTTTGGTGATATATAATAATGTTCAATATGAGACGTTTGTCTTTGCTTACAATAATATATTTAATATCTTTTAAATGAAAGATATTGACATTACACTTGACGATATCAAATCAAATCATATTTGATCTGAATCTGATTACTTTAATTCGGATGTGATTTCATCAAGATATTCTGTACTTAACAGAAAAAATATACAGTATATTACGAATAAGCATGATGAAATTTTAATAAAAAAAATTTTTTCAAGCAACAAAGATCCTTTTGATAAAATTAATAGATTCGAACGAATTAACTATGAACAATAAAAATGATTCATTCGTTTAAAGAGTTTCTAGATATTACTGATGAAAAGTATAAAAATGGAGTGACTGCTGTTCTCCAGAATACGCATACAGTATATATGATATATTTATTTCATTGATATTTCAAAAAGAATGCATTTTTCCAAATCTTTTTTCAAATTAGTATTATTTGCCTTATTCTATTTCTTCTCGAACATCTTTGCGTCAGATGGTACATCACCTCAATCAACTGTATCGAACTCATCTCGTCAAACTATAACGTCAACAAGTTCTTATATAATGTCATCGCCAATGCCCACATCATACGAACCAACCACAAGTACTAAATTATCAACACCAGACAAAATGCAAACTGAAAAGGTTTCCGACGTTCAGTCAACTCTGTTATCTCAAATGCGTGTTAATACCAATTATCATGCTTTGAGCAGTCCTGCATCACCGACAAATAATCTACCGCCAAGAGAAACTGTGACACCAGGTGTTTCTGGTTCTTCAGGATTTGTGAGAATCTGGTGGAGGAATTTTCCAGAATATGAAGGATATGGAAGAATAGTTTTTGCTTCTTGGATTGCCCTTAGTTTTTTTGCTTATTTGTTTTTGTTTAGGAATTAAAAAAATTTTTTGCTTAAGGTGATTGTGAGATAAATATAAAGTAAGTAAACCGCAAATGGAAAACGATGTTTAGTTTTTATATAGGCTCTTATACATTAATAGTGTACTCTATAATATGCTCTATTCTGATAAATCAATTTTTAAGTTGAATTTTTTGTAAATATTTTAAAACTAATCAAATATAAATTATCATCCATTATTGACAAAGAAATTATTTATTGATTTTATTAGTTATACAAAACAAGTATTGCATCTAAAATATTTTTAAAGATCACATTATCGTTATCCCCAGACAATAAATAAAAATTTTGATTATGCATATAAATCAGCTTATTAAAATATTACCCATCTTATTCCTTCACATTAAATTTCGATAATTGATGTACAGCATTTTCAAAATCTTTAACCAGTATTTCTTTTGAATTATCAAGAAATTCTTGCATTTGATCTTCCGAATTCTCCATCTCATCATATGTATTTTGATTAGAATTGTCTTTTGTTGAAGTTTTACTATCTTGGAAGGGTAGTATAATATCTTCAACTAAACTATCAAGTTCTTTAAGTAATGTTTCATTCTTATATTTAAGCAAATTTTTGTTTTTTGTTGTTGGCTTCTTTTGTCTATTTATTAATAAAGTTGATTTTTTGTTGGGTTTTGCTTTTGAATACGGAAAAGTATTATTAGTACTTGCAAGTTTG